GAGGACACACCACTCTGGAGTTCGATCAAAGCCATCAAGTGTGGCTCTGTCTCGGAACGTCGGAACAGCCTCAGTGGAAGACAAAAAGGCCGAGAACTCACTTCTTATAAAAATGCGCCCATTTACAGGATTCTTTTCTATCATCTCTCTACAAAGAACCGGTTTTTCATTCAGTAGACCAGACATCACAGATCCCAGCCGAGGTCCTGGGTGTCAGAGCAGAGCGATGAGGCTTTACGGGCCAAAACGAACCTGGAAAATGTAGAAAAGGATGCGCGTGTGGCAGAAACACTGGACCACGGAGATGCGACACACCTTGGGACAGAGGTGCGTGCAACGTGAGGCTAGATAGACAAGACCAGTGGCTGTACCACCCCCGCGGTGAGACTGGCAGCTTGCTCTCAGGTGAAGGAATTCATGTAATGTCCTTCAGGACAGCAGGACGGGCCATTTCTGTCGCAGTCAGGATCATGGAGGATGCCTGGGTCTCCCTTGGAAACTGAATGACACTTCAGACAGTTGGTGGGAGATTTCTCAATAACGGCTTAACTCCTTTTTTATCAGCTGAAGCACTTCAGTAAACGACTCTATTGAAAATTTATTGCTAGCCTTGCAAGCCGCGTGAAAAGATAGACCCTTCGGCTGCTACCTGCCTTCCCTTGACGAATCAAAAATGCAGAAGGCAGCTCCGGGCCTCCGTGCAACCTGCAATCATTTCCATCTCGGAATAGAAAGATTTACGTCCTGGAAATGCAGGCGTGAACACGTAGGCACGAAGATGGCTGTGGTGTTATTTTTCTCTCTCCCACGAAGGTCCTGAATGTGATATTCCACATCCGAGGGTTTGCCTTTGATTATTCAACGAGTGTCCCCACTTGAGTCGGCGTGAGTAAGAACCGTAACGCAAATAGGAGTGTGTGTTGATCCTTCTTGAGAGCCCTTCAACGCTGCTGGTGAGAGCGTGGTAAACCAGGTAACGGCATCCACGGCCAGCCGGCCACATCGCTGCGTACA